TAAAATTCCAAATTCGTCTTATATTTTCGAAGACACTTCCTCAATATATTTTGAAGTACAGCAAGTTCTCAAAGTCCTCATTTCGTCATCGAATTTTTGTAAACAGTAAAATTGATTCTATGACGTAGGAAATAAATGCTGGAGGTTGCAAACATTATCCAATTAGATTATTATTAACCGAATTATATCGTGTTTATATCAAATTAGCTTATGGTAGAATTGGTTTCGTTATTCGTCATATTCGCTCAACACCGCAGTCCAAGAACCATTGAGAACCTGCTATATGTAGTCACTGAAAAATCAGATTAGTAATGAAAATTCATAAAATTTCAGTTGACAAAAATTAATATGATTTAACATATAGCCACACAGAACTGGAATTTACTATAATTAGTGAATTCAAAAAAATCTGAATCCAATAAAGCCAAAATATAATTCGTGATATGTCCACCTCGACTTGTATTTCTGGTTTTATTCGATTCTAGGATTTAAAAAATCCTAAGAGATTTTTGATACAGATAACAAAACTCGTCTAAAAACTTTATATCATCTTAACTACACAATTTAAATTATACAAATTACCATAATTATAAACCATATTGATAATTACTTACTTAACACTTGTTAAGACTTAGGATGCAGAAATTCGTAAAATGTAAATTGTAGTCACCAGCTAACTTCCTTACTAAGAACTAAGATGAATTTCCGTCTTTGGTATCGATCGTTATCGCTTCTAGCCAAAGAAAACTTAAACAGAGAATCGTTCGACACACTTTTATTATTTATATTTGGTCGATTAGGCCTTCAACACTCGTCGAAGAACGTTTCTAAAGAGGCAAGGTCCGATCCCGACAATCGATGTAAACGTTTATATGGTTATACAATATGGCGATAAATAACGTTTTAAATACTTATATGTGAGAAAGTTTATTAATTTATATTATTTAAATCAGTTTTCTGAGAAATAACATAATGAAGATTCTTGTCGACCTTGGTTTAAGTTAAAGTTATCACCTATTGATACGGAGTTAGTTATATTTTTATTAATATTAATGGCTGTAATACTTTTTCTTAATTACATCAATTCGGGGTATTTTTANTTACATTGATTTATCATAAATTGTGTTTAAAAAGAAAATTTTTCAATATGGTAGACAAGTTTTTACTTCAAAATTTTACTTCTGATACAGAATATATTTTTATTTCATCTCTATTTTTTACGTTAATCATATGTGATTTGAGTGGCAATTACTAAAATGAGTAAATTAGTAAAAACAAACCTGACATTTGCATTAATAATAATAATTAAAGATTGGAATAGAAAATTGTTTGGTGGTAAATTTTGAACTAAATCTATTTAATCTATTTAAGATTCTCACAGTGGGGAAAGTTTTTTGATATCTTCGTCATAATACTATCTGTGATTTTAGTTTTGAATATTCAATCCTCGTTGTAAAGTTATTGTTACTGCATCATTTGCACTTGCAATCTAAGCACATAATCACTTCTAGAAAAGTATTTTCTTTCTTCAAGTCTCAAGGTCCACATAAATCTAATATAAATTTATCTTTGGTGGAGACTAATCTTACTCATGACTGCCTGGCATAATGGGTTACCAGTTTTTCACTTTGGATACTGATATTTACTATGTATTATTAAAAAAAAATTCATTGAATTTTCTAACTCTTCATAAAGGACCAAATAGAGAAGACTATTTTTTCAATGGATTTTTTTAAGCCTAAAATTTTTGGCTTTTTTTTTTTTAGTAACTTACATCACATGAGGAACTCTTATTGATATGGACTTTATTATTGGATGCGGTATGCATTTCAGGTCTTAATCACCCCCTCTTCAGTCCTTATTTTCTATAGAAATCTTATCAAAATAAATAATAGTTATAAATTACATCACACATATGTGTTTACAGATATTTACAAAAAAAAATTTTCTACTTACATTAGCTGATTATAGAATACAAATTGAAATTAAAAATTGGGCAACTAACTGGATATAATATAAAAAATTTGCTTAAATTGCTGTATAAAATAAAATTGAAGTAGTTAAAATCATTATAAAATTATACAAATTTCACTGTGTGAAAATCAACATTGACAAAATTACATCACAGTGTATTATAACTGAATAGGGGTGAGGGAGGTTTGGATGGGATTTCCAGTGGACACTACCTGTCATGAAGTGGTTGCCAGATCTTACTAATAGTTAGACCAGGGGTTCTCAACCCTTTTTTTACCTATGGACCCCTTTTCCTCTTAATTTTTTTTGTGGACCCCCCATAGATTGCACCAAAAAAACCTTATATTTTTTTCGTACATTGTTTCAAATTGGAAAAATATTTTAATATCGAAGATCTGAATTTCAGAAAAAGTAACTACTGTATTTATGAACTAGTACTTTTAATACCTCTTACCTTGTCAAGATTGAGTTTTGCACAGAACTGAAGGTTAGGCCAGGAACACACATGCGTAAAATTCGGCGTAAAATCTAGCATAAAACAGAAAACGTAAAAATTTTTCTGAAATTTTGGCTGAAACAAAACTGAAAATAGAGTAGAGCATGTCTCTACTTTTTACGCCGAAAAATTTTTACGCCAAAATTCCTCCAATAAAGAGAAGTCTTTCCTGTGACGTCGAAGTAGACACGTGGTTTTTATTCTAACAATGGCGGCAATGAGGGTTAACCCTACAATTGTGATGGTCTCGAAAAAACGAAAAATAAATGAAATAGAGGAGTTTATTGAATCCGTTCGACCAAATCAGTGTCATGTATAAAGACACTGTATTTAAACAACGTTTATGGATGGCTACAGGTGTTAAATTTCAAATAACAGGTAAGTCTAGTAGAATCGATATATAGGCCTAGTATTTATATCACACGTTCTTTATTNATACAAACAAAAACTTGAATATAACAAAATAAATTGACGAGATGGAATTTTTTGGTATTTTTTTTTTTTTGTTTGTTTTTACCAAGTTGAAATCTATAAGAAAATATATAAAAATCCTATGCAGTTTTTTACTTGCAGACCAGTGTTATTGTCTAAACAAATAATAACAATGAAGAAAATTGATCTTCAGATGATTAACACAATACATAACGACAACGGCATAAATGATGTAATAATTTAAATACGATTTTATGTGTGGAAAGCAAGTTAGTTTGTTTTCTGTAACTACAGAAAGGATTTCATGCGGATACTCAAGAAATTTCCTTTTAAATTCACAATAATAATAAGAATAACTTAGTTATTCATAATAATATTGGCCGTATATTTAACGTAAATTAATGGACGTAATTAATTGAACGTAAATTCTTCGTACATCATCTGAGCTGATTTCGGTATCAACGTGGACGATGTTCTCTGTTCTCTTTCAATTCTGTCATTATTTATTTGAAAACTACCATACAATTAGCAATCATACTTTTGAACTTCCAATCCTATACAATATAATATCAATTAATGCATAATAATTAGAAGCAAAGATAAAACGTCGACCAAATAGAATGATTTTCTTGGTATTCTCTGCGACGGTAAAAAATTAAAATTTAAAAATACAGTATATAAGTTATTGATATTCACATATCCCTACGACTGCTTTTAGACATTCATTTTTAATTAATATTGTCTGAAAAATAATATAATTTATTTATATTAGACTTTTATAACTCTCGAAGTTGTAAAATTATTAGCCTGTTATGGAATTAGTGGAACGTCTCATTCCATTGCAATTGTTTTAGAATATTATTTTCATGCAAATAAAAATAATTTAGAATAATTGTTTTTAATAAAAGTAAATTTAAATATGTAGAAAACAGATCTATAATCGAAAGTATGATATTTTTTTGTTTATAAATAATAGTGTGTTAACATTTATCCAGGCGCAAAAGACGTCTTCCCAGCATTGCACGAATATATGTCTACGGTGCATTAATTTCACTGCGCTGTTTAATTAAACCAAAGTAATTTGTTCAAAAAAGAGACATACGTAAATTGTGCAGTAGTTCCAAACAATATGTGAATTTCCAAAGATGCAAATTAAAAATGCGACCTTTACGACATTCGATGTCAATGTCCTTGCAAACGAGCCACTATCATACACTTCGCTAATTGGTAGAGCACTGAGAGAATGTCTTATACTCACGAACATTACTGTGAAATGTTTATTCTTTATAGGTAAACGAGATGAAATGCACGAGAAGTAGAGTCAGTAATACCTGATACCATGAGTGTATTCCAGCTATGCTTGATGCAAACCGTTAGGGATCACGATCCAGATCGCACTTGATTTCACTATATCGAAGTTTTGGCGTACTTCCATGCCCGAGGTTTGATTGTATATACATATACAATCAAACCTCGGGTTTCGAACTTAATTCGTTCATAAAAGTTGTTCGAAAACCGAAACAAATTTTTCCATAAGAAACATTATAAAATGGGTTAATCTCTTCCCGACCTCCAAAACAAAATAATTTTTTTACCTTTTTAGCAGTATTTCATGCATAAAAATGCTTATAAAGGCAATGTAATATTAGGGGAGATCGGGGCAAGATCGGCATGTTAAGCTTTACTTAAATTTTGTGTAATAAATACTGCAGTAAACTGAAAAAAAAGCTTTGCATATTGTCTATTGGAATGTTACCTTACTATACAACTGGTTAAAATCAGTTTGGAAATAAAAATAATTAAAATAATTACAACTTTACAAGAAGAGAGAAATTGACGAAGTTGCCCCGAGTATAGGGGCAAGATCGGCAACNTTAATCTATATTAAAATTTGATTTTTTTATTAGATTAAATAGCTGTATAATAGAAAAAGAATTTAAAATCGTGAAATTCTTATGTTTAATTCCTTTTTTCGAAGGTTTCTAATGGCAAAATTTCAGTGCGAGTTGCCAAAAAAGTACATTGACGTTCAAACAGGTTTAGTGAATAGGCGCGTAACGAGAAAAATAAATAAATAAAATGGGAGTTGGTCACTTACCTGTGAGCTTGATAAAGACTACGAGGATGCGAAACGTGCCGGATAATTCCGGACGGACGAGACGTCGGAGGTTGCGATCATCAAACAAACTCTTTCAATCCCTATCTCTCGATGACGTCACGGTTAAAAATGATGATGCCCCCTGGCCAATAACACTCCTTTCCCATCGACGTCATCGGCTGTCAGTGACGTAACCAGACTTCTTAGTAACCTAACCTGAGTTAAAACAAAAGTAACGATTTTAGTCGAACGTATTCCGTAAAAAAGTCGCCTCCTTCTTGCCGACATCGATGTTGAAGATGGCGATTTTTAATCGATTTCTTCATCACCGCCGTTAGAAAAATCGATTGTCGAAATGAATGAACGGCGTCGTTGCTTGGACCGGAAATTGTCTATCGTAAATTTTTAAAACATAACTGAATATTCCGTTTTCTGCTCGAGACTTGTATTGGTTTAAAAATTCGCCTTCACACGCGTCGATTGGATCGCCAATGACGCGGTCATGTGATCGTAATTTTAAACAGTCATAGACATCAGTCCGATGAACGCCATCTATGAGCGAAAAAGCGAAAAATAATCGATAAATTCTTCGGAATATTCTCCTTAAATATCACATATAATTAAATAATCAATTAATAATTTTTGATTTCTCAAAATTAAAAAATGCTCCATTTTATTAATGCTTTAGTTACAGACCGAAATTTATTAATTTTTACGTACATTTCCATCCTACGTAACCGTGTTAAAATGGTTTTACAATGACCGAATCCACTAAAAGTAGATTTTTAAGTGGCATCTGTTTTATTTTAAAATACTAAAAACAATATGAAACTAAATCCCTTCAAAAATATATTTTTTTAAATAATAAAATGACACCTTCACAAATAACAAATTCTATGTCAATGCCCAGTATAAAAAAGTTAACTAAGACATTGATAAGAACCATCTTGTGTAATACAAAAAATTTCCAATTTTTTTAAATAAAAAAAGTGGAAAATCTTTAAAACACCCACGAATACGCCTTTCTAAGTTTCTTTAAAATTTTCTAGCAGTATATAATTCTAGATTTCTACGAATATTTTCGAGAATTAACGCGATTTTTATCGTCTTATTATAGATTCGTTTCCCAACAGGTAGATCGCGATACCCGTGACTCTATTCCCACGAATTTCATAATAATTTCAAAAATTAAAATAAAATGAAAAATTTACTAATCAAAATAGGAAAAAAAATCTATATTTTAACGTAAATTTTCGTCATATTAAGCAGTTATTAATATAATTTTCCATAGTTTTGCCTTATTAAATTAATGATTTATAGTTAAGTAAACATAAATTTAGTTTTTTGTAGAGGTATTTTTTTAAAATCTGTTTCTAATCAGTGTTTAAACTTAGAGTAAATCATTTCAAATAAATTGACACGTTGTTTATAATAATTATTAAAGTATATTCACTGTACTGACCTTTAATTACTCAAATTATTTTTTTTTCATTGAATTAATCGAGATAAATTTCTCTTCCTATAAATAATCGTTCAAATCTCTAAACTATTTCGCAATTTAAAATTATAATACTTAATTTGAATCCTAAATAATAACATTATCGCTCCAAACCGTTTATAAAATAACACCTCAGTTAACTTACTTTTGGGTTACTCTATATGTATTTATTTGCCTTAAAAAAATGTTAATGAATTTTCTACAGTTTATTTGCCTTATTTTGAAAAACTGAACACTTCTCAGAGTCAAAAATATTAGTGTCTTAAATATAAAAGTAGCTTAATTAAATATTTTTTGTGTCTTACACATCACAAAGCGTGACTACGTAACTAATAAATAATCTTTTATTAAAAATCTTAAAATATAATGTTTGTATGATTTCTGAAAATATTGTTCTGTGATGCGTAAGAATTATAAAACTGAAATCTATTTAAATAATTCTCATATCTTTGCCGACAGAATCTTTCTTTTTTCTTGAGTTTCCTCTTCAACAATAGTAGGAAAACAGACTCGAAAGATCTATAACAATAAAATTATAATATATATGACTTTTTAAACGTTTCATCCTCTCTGTAAAACTATTTTTTTTGTGTGTGTAGGCCTATACATATTTATAGCAATGAAACTGTATATATATATTTTTTTTCTTAAATGTTGCTATATTAAATTTTTGACCTTGAAATGCATTGTTAAATCTAGTTTTATATTCTGACAAAGGCTTCTGCTTTAGAAATAAGTCATCAGAATTTTCCAAGTGTTGTTTCACGATATTGTTATAAGTTACATGAATTTGTTCCAAGAATAATTAAATTACCAAACCTGAAAAAACTGCATAGGGAATTAACCCGTTGTTCGTGGTATGAAGAAAGAGAAGAGCAATTTTTTTTTTCTGTGTTACCAATGTGGTTGCTTTTAATGACGTACGTTGATTCTAGATTAATGAAAATACATTTAATTGCTATCAAATCGAAAGTGGATTTTGTAACTAACATCTTGTCATCGGTTCATTGATAAGAATATTTATTATTTTGTAATGTTTTTATTTGAAAATATTTTGCGTAAGTGGGAAATTGACCTTAGTGTTTACTCGAGAAGTCAATTGATACTATTTGTTTTCACGCGGGGTTTCAACATACAGCAAGTTACATGAAAGGTTTCAAGTTTTGCCTATCACAGACGAGCCTACAACGAAATCAACTAGCAGGAGAAAAAAGATGGATAACGATCGCTTTATCTAAAGGAACTATCAAAAATGTCGTAACTGACTGCATTGCATTCGAACCAAAATTCCTCACGGCTATCGAAAAGTATTGAAATAATAAATTTTCTAACTCATCCTTTACTCCTCAATCAAAGATTTCTTCAAAAAAAAAACTTATATAGTAGTTTCGTAATATGGATTATTGAAGTTCTAACACACTACGAAACTGAAACTGCGAACCCATGACTTCCATTTTAAAAAATTAGTTACTTGTAAATTATTTCCTCGATCATACAGAATAAGTTTTCATGAATTTTGTAAATATTTAACAAAAATTGATTTAGTAATTGTTTTTCATAAGTTTCACTTTTCAAATCTGTAGGTTTACTGTGGTTTTGAAATTTGATGCTCTCCACATAAATGATACTTCGCACCTTGTTATTGTATTGAACATTCTGATTTTGTTTTTTGTTTTTTATTAGATATTTAATACCATTTCTATAAATCACACATTAAATATTAAATGAAGTTTAAATTTTTTAAACGTATTAAATATTTATTTAAATTATTCATTAATTTGCTTTTTTTTCTTTTTGAAATAATTCATAATTGGATAAACAACTTATATTTTAATGCTGAGACGGGAAAACTTAATGCCATAATAAACAAAAATTATTTGATACATGAAGAAAACGCGGAAAACTACACGTTGGAAAGGCGCGTACCCACGACCAACTAGTGTTCAGTAAGCCACTCGCTACTGGTGTATCCCTAAACAATCAACCGGTGAATGTTTCTTTGCATGATATGATTTCCCAAGGACAAGGAATTTAGGGAAGCCATAATCTCAGTGGGCCCCCAACATATTTCGATTCCTTGGTGGATTCTTCTCCTTTACGGCCGAAGCGGTTAAGGAGTCAGCATACCACTTTGGAGGACTCTGAAATTGAATCTACGAAATCGAAAAATCCCAGGAATTTTTCTTATGTAGTCTGTCACGGATATATCGGACACCATATCTCACTACCGGACGCATTATTGTGGTTCTAACCGAATCGAATTATTGCCCATAGGATGGCGAGACTAAAAACAAGATGGACCCTTTGCCAATGAATTAAAATTCGTCAGGGAATCTATAATTTTTATGGGTGCTTTTGACTATATACTATACGATGTAATAACATTCGCAAATCGGCTGATTGGATGTAAGTTATCAATATTTATATGAAAAAACTCGATCTTTTATCTATTATGAAAGATTGTTTCGTGAGAGAAATTAAATTAAGTTCATTGAAAACTACTCAAATCTCGAATGTGATCTATATTGGTTTAATAAACATTAAATTTACGCAATAACCATTTTCGTCTCTAAGTCATAACAAAATATTTTTTATTGTAGATTTATATTAACCAACTTTCAAATTAACATTACTCATGCAGACATCACTATGAATTTCTAATTGTCAGTAATACTAATTCTCAAGATTTTTTTCTTTGTCGAAGGGTCTGTTTTGAAAAAAGTAAAATTTTATAATACAATTTTTTACGTTGTTGTTGCTATAGGTGTTCTAAAACGTACTGTACAGTACATTCTTCGCCAACATCTATCGGAATCTAATGATTCAAATTTAAGCATTTGGGTTTCGATATTGCATCCATCAATCATTACCAAATGATTAATTTTGCTTTTTAGAAAGGAAAAAAACGTTTATTTAAACTATTTCAATAATTCGTACGTTATATAAAAATTTAACTCGAATGAATGCGTGGTGAGCATTACGTAAGTCGGAACATTATACACTTAGTTGATTTTCCGGTTGATGACGTCGAGAGGAAATAGGTCACTGTAAATTCTTCAATGATCTAGTTATTTAAAACTTAAATAGTTCATATGAAAAGTTAGTTTACGTACCGTCGATAGCTCAGCTGGTAGAGCGGTGGACTGTAGAGGTATTTAACTACTGATATCCATAGGTCGGTGGTTCAAATCCGCCTCGACGGAGTTTTTTTTTTTTTTTTACTTTTAAAGAACTTTTACTTTTTAATGATATTCTCTACGTTTAATTTTAAACATACGATTGGAATTTGGAAAAAAATGTATTTCTTAACAATAAACAAACAAATGTTGATGCAATAATTGTTTATCATATTCATTGAATATCTGATGTTTTGATTTATAATTTTTACGGATATGATATAAAATTGTCTAATAATATAAAAGTATATTAAAAATTAAATTTCCAGTTCAGTTATAACTAATTTATATATAGTCTATATTTTTATTATTCTCCACTACATAATAATGTCTGCTAGTTTACTACAGTAGTTTACTCTGTATTAAATAGTTTCGACTGTATTTTAAAGAAAATAAGTAACTTTGTTTCATAGATATACAATATCGATTCTATACATTAAAATATTTTTGATTTCTCAAATTTAAGTTTAAGTGTTATTTACAAATTCGAAAAAGAATCTAACTTGATATTTAATTATCAGATTGAAAAGAGTATAAAGATATGATGCTGACTTAATTACACAGGTCTGCAAAAAAAATTTTTCCAGCTGCATGGGACATTTTTGCTGAATTATATGTTTTAAAGATCGGATAATATTCTAAAAATGATTTCCGTAACATCCCATCACGTATAGGTTTTTTGCAAAATAAAAACAAATATTTTATATATTTATTACAATGAACTAAATATATTATATATTCTTATGACACCTTTTCTTCTTCTCTTTGATACTTCTCCGAACTCGTTTCTGATTTCCTTCTCTGGTTTCTCGATTGAGCATCCAACAGTAGTCGCTAACATATTGACGTCCCATTTTCCTTGGTAACGAACGTCTCTCGATATCACGGACATCCTGGTGAAATCTTTCACCCTGTTCTTCACTGTAGGCTCCCGAGTTTTCGGGAAAATAGTCAATACGGGAGTGTAAGAAATGAACTTTTAAGCTCATCTTTCATCCTTGAAGCTTCATACGCTGCCAACATGCATTATACAATGGTTTAGTAGTCAGGGTCCTTAGTATTCCGCAATAATTTATGCACTACATTCTTAAAAGAGTCCCATGCTTCTTTTTCCATTTCTCCCATTGTTTCCAAAAATAGGGGATCAGATAAAGGGGATGTTGACTTTTCACTGTGTATTCACCACAAACATAATAGAAGCTGTCGGGTAATAATAGCTCCCGTAGAGGAAATTACAAACCTCTGCGAGCCATATTCCAGAAATAAAAATACAAGCACAGTAGTGTTTGAATGTTAGATATAAACTGTGTGTGGCATTAGATGACCAGCGAGATACTGAACTTATTTAGCTTATCGAAACATGCTCAACCTCACCAGTAATATTACTCACTATCAACTTTTAACCTGTTTCTACACGATCATGCGACCTTCCTCCTAACGCTAAAACTATTTAACCCATCTCCCCCTACCACTACTCTCTTTAACCATTAACATTTTTATTTATTTATTGCCAAGTCCAGCTATAATTGATAGAATTAATGTGAGAAGTCTTCGTTTTAAGGCCATTTTTGAAATAATAAAAATTTTAAGTTAACTAGGAATTTTACGCTAAATACAAACAAAAACTTGAATATAACAAAATAAATTGACGAGATGGAATTTTTTGGTATTTTTTTTTTTTTGTTTGTTTTTACCAAGTTGAAATCTATAAGAAAATATATAAAAATCCTATGCAGTTTTTTACTTGCAGACCAGTGTTATTGTCTAAACAAATAATAACAATGAAGAAAATTGATCTTCAGATGATTAACACAATACATAACGACAACGGCATAAATGATGTAATAATTTAAATACGATTTTATGTGTGGAAAGCAAGTTAGTTTGTTTTCTGTAACTACAGAAAGGATTTCATGCGGATACTCAAGAAATTTCCTTTTAAATTCACAATAATAATAAGAATAACTTAGTTATTCATAATAATATTGGCCGTATATTTAACGTAAATTAATGGACGTAATTAATTGAACGTAAATTCTTCGTACATCATCTGAGCTGATTTCGGTATCAACGTGGACGATGTTCTCTGTTCTCTTTCAATTCTGTCATTATTTATTTGAAAACTACCATACAATTAGCAATCATACTTTTGAACTTCCAATCCTATACAATATAATATCAATTAATGCATAATAATTAGAAGCAAAGATAAAACGTCGACCAAATAGAATGATTTTCTTGGTATTCTCTGCGACGGTAAAAAATTAAAATTTAAAAATACAGTATATAAGTTATTGATATTCACATATCCCTACGACTGCTTTTAGACATTCATTTTTAATTAATATTGTCTGAAAAATAATATAATTTATTTATATTAGACTTTTATAACTCTCGAAGTTGTAAAATTATTAGCCTGTTATGGAATTAGTGGAACGTCTCATTCCATTGCAATTGTTTTAGAATATTATTTTCATGCAAATAAAAATAATTTAGAATAATTGTTTTTAATAAAAGTAAATTTAAATATTTAGAAAACAGATCTATAATCGAAAGTATGATATTTTTTTGTTTATAAATAATAGTGTGTTAACATTTATCCAGGCGCAAAAGACGTCTTCCCAGCATTGCACGAATATATGTCTACGGTGCATTAATTTCACTGCGCTGTTTAATTAAACCAAAGTAATTTGTTCAAAAAAGAGACATACGTAAATTGTGCAGTAGTTCCAAACAATATGTGAATTTCCAAAGATGCAAATTAAAAATGCGACCTTTACGACATTCGATGTCAATGTCCTTGCAAACGAGCCACTATCATACACTTCGCTAATTGGTAGAGCACTGAGAGAATGTCTTATACTCACGAACATTACTGTGAAATGTTTATTCTTTATAGGTAAACGAGATGAAATGCACGAGAAGTAGAGTCAGTAATACCTGATACCATGAGTGTATTCCAGCTATGCTTGATGCAAACCGTTAGGGATCACGATCCAGATCGCACTTGATTTCACTATATCGAAGTTTTGGCGTACTTCCATGCCCGAGGTTTGATTGTATATACATATACAATCAAACCTCGGGTTTCGAACTTAATTCGTTCATAAAAGTTGTTCGAAAACCGAAACAAATTTTTCCATAAGAAACATTATAAAATGGGTTAATCTCTTCCCGACCTCCAAAACAAAATAATTTTTTTACCTTTTTAGCAGTATTTCATGCATAAAAATGCTTATAAAGGCAATGTAATATTAGGGGAGATCGGGGCAAGATCGGCATGTTAAGCTTTACTTAAATTTTGTGTAATAAATACTGCAGTAAACTGAAAAAAAAGCTTTGCATATTGTCTATTGGAATGTTACCTTACTATAGAACTGGTTAAAATCAGTTTGGAAATAAAAATAATTAAAATAATTACAAC